GAAGAAAGAATCTCAGGTGTAGAAGATACAGTGGAAGAAATTGATGCATACATCAAAGAAAATGTTAAATCTAAAAAATTCCTGACACAAACCATCCAAGAAATCAAGGACAATATGAAAAGACAAAACCTAAGAATGATAGGAATAGAGGAAAAAGAAGATTCCCATCTCCAAGGCCCTGAAATTATTTTCAACATAATCACAGAAGAAAATTTCCCCAATTTACAGGAGAAGCCAATAAGGATACATGAGGCCTACAGAACACCTAATAGATTAGACCAGAAAAGAAAATCCTCCTGCCACATAATAATCAAAACAGTAAGTATACAGAACAAAGAAAAAAATACTAAAAGCTGCAAGAGAAAAAGGCCAAGTAACATATAATGGCAAACCCATCAGAATCACACCTGACATCTCAACAGAGACTATGAAAGCCAGAGGGGCCTGGACGGATATCATGCATACCCTATGAGAACACAGATGTCAGCCCAGGCTACTATACCCTGCAAAACTCTCAGTCCTCATAGATGGAGAAAACAAGATATTCAACAACAAAAACAAATTTAAACAATAAATAACCTCACTACAGTAAAACTAAAAGTAGCCAAGCATACAAACACACTACCAACATCAAAATAAAAGGATCTAACAGTCAGTGGTCATTAATCTCTCGCAACATCAATGGACTCAACTCTCCAATAAAAATACACAGACTAACAGAACGGATGAGTAAACATGACCCAACATTCTGTTGCATCCAAGAAACATACCTCAGTCACCATGATAGACATTACCAAAAAGTAAAGGGCAGACTGAAACAGCACAGACCACTTTGGGCAGCAGTGAGAGGCCTCAGCTCAGAGCCTGCTTCCGTATTAAACTTCTGTCCTGAGTATTAAGTTAAAGTTCTTATTAATAGGCTTATATGATGTTAAGAGTATGAAATGTTAAGTTTATTTTCTACAAACTACTTGGTATCTTCATTACTACTTGTTAAAAATATGTTCTAATTCTAATCTAAAAGCTGTCTGGTAGATGACTGAAAAAGCAAAATGAATTAACTAATCTGTTCAATATGTAGAGCTGGCTTTTTGTTTGTTTCGGACTTTTGTTTATTTCAAGCAAGGTCTCTTTGTGTAGTCCTGAAACCCACTATGTAGACCAGACTGGCCTCAAACTCACACAGACCCACATGCCTCTGCCTCATGAATGCTGGGATTAAAAACATGCACCTCCTTGCCAGTTTAGAGCTGTTATTTTTATGTTTATTTTTAACAACTGTGTCACCCTGTCAAGATTTATATATGAATACGATCACAGGAAAAAGAAACCAAGTAATTAAAGTCTTGTTATTAAATTCTGGAAAAAAAAAAAAAACACCACCAAGAAAGTAAAAATGTAAAACAAAGAGAAAAAAAAGTCAAAAGGTAACCCAATTAATGAACATTTTTTCTTTACAAATCATTTATCTTATAAAGAAATGCATACAGAATACTCAAGACTGTCTAGAAATGTACTTAATGTCATCCTATATAAAAAGAACGTAACTCTGTAACAATCAAACTTTTTAAATGGATAAAAGCAATGAATAGACATGTCTCCAAAGTACTATAAAACTGACTAAAAAGCACATAAAACCACTAGTCATTGGGGAATGTAAATCAAAGTTATAACAGATACCACTCCATGCTAATGAAGCCAGCCATACTAACAACATTCTATGATAACACATGTTTTTAGGGATGCAGTGCTAATACAATCCCTACACACTGCTGGTGGAAATGTAAATGGTACAGTAAGCCACTTTAGAAAAGTCTGGCAGCTCCCCCGAAAGTCAAACATAGTGTTACCATATGGTCCAACTATTATCCATTCCAGATATATATGCAACCACAATAACTAAAAATATGACTCGACAAAATATTTTACAACAATGTTCATAGGAGCACTCATAATAGCCAAAAGGTAGAAACAAGTCAAATGTACATTAAGAAATGAATGAGCAAAATCTCATACATATACAGTAGAATCTCTAACCATAAAATGTGGAGTAAATATTAAGTCATGCTTCAACATGGATGAACCTAAAAGTAGAGTGTCAAGTGAAAGAAGTTATTCACAAAAGATCTCATACTGTATGCTTTCATTTATGTAAAATATCTAGAATAGGCAAAATCCACAGAAATGGAATGATGGCTAACGGGCTTAATGTTTTTTTCATTTTTCTTTAGTTTTTTTTTTTGTTGTTTGTTTTTTTTTTTTTTTTTTTTTTTTTTTTTGAAACAGGTTTTCCCATCAGGAAGACTGGCCTCACACTTACTATGTAGGTGAGGATAATGACCTTGGATTCCTGATTCCCCCCTCCTTATATCATCCAAATCCTGGGATCCTTATATCATCCAAGTCCTGGGACTCTGGGTATCTAACATCACACCCAACAAGAGCTTTTTGGGTGAAGAACTGTTCTGGAATTAGACTTATGGTAATGTCTGTACAACTGTATGAAAATACTAAAAATACTGAACTGTACACTTAAAATGGATGAATTATGCAAAAATATTCCACACTAAATGCAAATTCAGTATTTACAAATGCAATGAATTAAAATTCTCCCAGGAAAGCCTTTGCAGCAAGAGACCACAGGAATAAGAGGATGATCAGTAGCTCAGAGGAAAGGAGAAAGCAGCAGTGAGAAGATCAGGCGTGGTCACAGAGAGCATGTTACCTCATCACCAATTCTTCAGTAAGAAAGAGCTATAAGTGCACATGGAATCCCATTGTTGCTTATCACTCTTACTTTGGTTACATGGATTAAAGTAATTCCTGTCTCACACAAAGATAAACAGAAAAGTAAACACGTTAGAAGGAAGTTAAATGCAAAGGTAGGCCCCTTAAAAAATTACTAATGTTCCTACAGGCTGGGGACATAGCTCAGTAGGTAAAGTTCTTGTCACACAAGCACAAGGACTTAAGTTGGATTCCCCAGAACCCATGTGTTGATTTTTTTTTTTAAAGGGCCTACAAGTCTCTCTTTCACACATGGCATGAACTCGGATATACACAATAAATATGTGTAAAAATGGCCTTTTTAAAGATTTGTTTTTATATTCTATGTATATGAGTGTTGGTCTGCATGTCTGTGTGTGTGTGCATTATATTGTGCATGTAGTGTACACTAAAACCAGAAAAGGTCGTCAGATGCCTTAAAACTAGAGTTTCAATACTTGTGAACAATCATGTGGGTGCTGAGATATGTGTGCTCTTTAACTGCCGAGTCATCCCTCCACCTTAAAGAGATGTTTATTTAAAAAAAAAAAATCTGACAATAAAGCCAAGCTTACCCCTACAATCCTGGTGCTTTGGAGGCTGAGGCTGGAGGCAATCTGAATTTGAGGCCCGCCCGGGCTCCACAATGAGTCTGAAGTCAGCCTGCGCTGTAGAGTAAAACCCTCTATCAAGGGTATATATGTATGTGTGTGCGCACATAGACACAAAGACTAACTACGTCATCGAGTTCTATGAGATGTATTAAAAAAACAACAGTGGCCAGTCAAAAATTCACTGTATGAGACTGAAGGGACAGATGCATCAATGAAGTGTTCACCATGCAAGAAGACCCAAATTCAGATCACCTACATGAAACCTCGTACAACCGCCCAACTGTAATCCCTGGGCTGGAAAGGCATTGGCTGGCCAGCCAATCTAGCACAATGAATGAACTCCAGGTTCAGTGAGAAAGAGTGTCTTAGAAACAAGGCAGAGGACAATGAGCTGGCTCAGCAGATAAAGATACTTGGCACTTAAGCCTGACTGCCTTTGAGCCCCCAACTCCACGTAAAGATAAGAACTGACTCCACAAAGTTGTCCTCCGACCTCCACATGTGTCCCAGCACACATGCATGCATACCCCCACTCTAATAATAAATAAAGATTAAAAAAAAAATAAGAGATAACTATCAAGGAAGATACCTGATACCAAACCTCTGGCCTTGACATGCATGTAACACCATTTGCTCATTTACAAATCATTATTGATTTACAAGATTTTTAAAAACACTTAAAACAACAACGGAAGGAGCCTGGGAATGTAATTTAGTACAGTGCATGCCTGCCTGCATGAAGTCCTAGGTTCAGTCCCCGGAACCATATAAACCGATAGTTCTCAACCTGTGGGTCACAACCCCTTTAAAGGTCTATTGACCCTTCCACAGAAGTCCCCTGAGACTATCGGAAAACACTGATATTTACATTATGACTCATAACAGTAGCAGAATTAGTTATGAAATAACAATGAAAATAATTTTATGGTTGGGGGGGTCATCATAACATGGGAAACTCTATTAAAGGGTCAAAGCATTAGGAAGGTTGAGAGCCCCTGATATAAACCAAGTGTGATACACACACTTCTGAAATCCCAATCCTGAAGACACAGAGGAAGATTAGAAATCCTAAGTCCTGCTCAGCTACAAACTGAGTCTGGTCCATAGGAGACCTTGTCACAAGGAAAGAATGAAGGGAAGAAAGAAAAGTGATTTAGGTGTGTAGTAACATATGCCATAATCCCAGTACAAAGGAGTCCAAGGCCAAAGGATTACAAATTTGACTCAAGGTGGTCTAAATGTGACCCTGTCTCAAAAAACAAATGAAAAGAACTGAGGAGCTATGTTCAAAAAATTTATACATTACCAAGAATAAGTTAAACTTCAAATTTGAGAGTACAAAAGCATGGTTTGGGGCAAAAGAGTTGTCACAAAAGAGTTTTTGAAACTGGATCTCTGCTTTTTGTTGTTGTTATTGTTATGTAGCTCTGCCTTTCCTGGAACTCACTCTGTAGAGCAGGCTGGCCTTGAGCTCAGAGATCTTCCTGTCTCTGCCTCCCGAGTGCTGTGACTTAAGGCCTGCACCACTAGAAACTGGATCTTAAGAGAGTGTGTAGGGTGGTCTCCAATTTGTGATCCTCGACAAACTCGACAAACAGGTGATTTACAGGTGTCACGTACCTGTAATCCAAACACTCAGGAGCCTGAGGCAAGGTTGGGCTGCAAAAGGGAAAATTATTTCTTTTTATTCACTTTACATCCTGGTAGGATTTTTTTTTAAATGATGTATAAGTATGTACTTATATCCATACGTCAATGTGTATGCAACCATTTGGAGACCAGAGATAGACACCTTCCTCAGAGACAGACATCTTCCTCAATAGCTCTCTACCTTATTTTCTTAGGACAGGGGTCTTTCATCCAAGCCGAAGCGCACCATTTCAGCTTAACTGGATGGCCAGCAAGCCCCAGGGACTCTCCTGTTTGTGTCTTCTGAGAACTGGGATTAGAAATAAGTACTGCAGGGCTGGCTTTTTATTCAGGTGCTAGGGCTTCATCTGAACCCGAGTCCTCATGATTACACCATAAGCACTTTACTAACTGAGCCATTTTTGCCCAGCTCAAAGAAATTTCCTTTTTTTTTTAAATTTTTTTATGCTTCAAGATGCTTTACGTGCTCTGAATTTTTTTACAAGAAAGCAAAGCCTGTAATAAGACAAGGTATGTGAATGCACTTTCAATAAATATCTCATACGACTTTAAAAGTTCATTACTGAGAAAATACCTCTTAAAAAGTTAAGTGATTTGGCCAAGGTAATCAGACATATTATAATTCAATGAAGTCATGTCTTCAAATCTCTCATTCATTTAGAAAAGGCCTTACTAAACTAGTTTTTCAGGAAGTTGAGTTAATGAACTACTATCAATAAAGAAGGAGAATAAAATAGGCATGGGGGACATGCTCCTGTAATCCCAGCATTTAGGAGCCAGAGGCAGGAGAATCCGAAGTTCGAGACCATCCTTGGGTACACCGTGAGTTCAAAGCCAGCATGGGCTAGAAGACTCTCCTTAAAAAAAGAAAGAAAACCCCAACAGAAGTGAACAAACAAGGCTCATTATGAAACTGCAGCAAAGCCTTTTAAAGTTTTTTTTGGACCTGTTCACATCTAGGAAAGAAATGTTAAATCGTGCCAGGCCTGGCGGTGCAGGCCTATACTACCAGCTCGTCAGAAGGATAAGGTAGAAAGTCTGAGTACTGCCCTGCTTGAATGAGCTAAACACCAGCTTGAGTTGAGTGAGACCTTGTCTCAAAAGGTACATAGCTCTATGGTGAAGTGCTTGCTTGGCATGGAGGAGGTCCTAGCTTTAATCAACAAGGTTGTAAAAGGGGGAAGAAAAAAAAAAACTGCTCAAAAGGTAGCCTGACCAGGAGCATAGAGAACCTTGTTTTCTACTGGTAGTTTGTAATTTCTTGCAGAAAAGAAATCACTCAAGGTGAAGCTCAAAAATTACCCCCAAGGGGAAAATATTTAGGGGGCTAAGTTTCTCTAGGACAGTCCTGACAGTGACACAGTTGACTAAATTTCTCATTGCCGTCTTTACTACTCTTCGATGTTCTCCCAGGAGGTCCCTCACGGACAAAGCCTGGGCTCGGGTCCCGAGGGCGAAGCGTCTGAGGAGGCCTGAGAGCAAGGGCTCAGACCCGAGGTACCGCCCCCTTCCTGATTCCTAGGGCAGACACTCCACTCGGGGAACAAGAGCTGCCACCTGCCCGTCGCCTCAGCCGGGGAAGACTCGGGAGGTGGGCAGGTGCTGCGACTCCGGGCGGCTCGGCAAAGGCACTCATGGGACAGCCTCGGAAAGCCCGCTGGCCAAGCGCGCCAGGGGCCTGTGCTGCGCGGGCGACAGCGGCAGAGGGAAGGCGCGGGCCCAGCGTGAGGGGAAGAAGGGATGTTATCGCCCAGAGAAGCTCAGCTTGCCCGCCGCCCCTTCCCTGCCGCCCCTCCCGCCACCGTGAGAACCGCCTCTCCCGGGTGAAGGACACACCCTCCCTCCCTTGCAGGCCCGGGCCTCCTCGCTCCGCTTGCCCCCGGGACCGATCACCTTGCAAGGAAGTCGTAGCCATATCCGTCGCTGTCGCCAAGCCTCTAACGCCACCGAAGCCGCAGGTCCCTCCAGGCCTCGCGATCTTGCTCAGCTCCCGCCTCCTGCTCCAACAAGCACCCAGCCACACCCGCGGGTCCACGAGACCCGGAACCACTTCCTTCCTTAATGGTATTGCCCCACCCCCTATCCCCGCCCATCGTGCCTGCCTCGCGCCAAACTTGCTTTCAAGGAGAAGCTAGGGCTCCGAGCCCCGCCCAGGCTGCTCCAGCAGACACTCTAGCGCCCTTTGCTGGCTGAGCTCACTGCGGTTACCTGAGACGCTAAAGCACAGGCGAGCCCATCAGGCTGGAAGAAAGGGATGAACTGGATGGTGCAAGTCCTGGGCTCTTTGGATTTGGAGAATGCGGTCCTCTAGTCCCCTCGGTCTTCCTGCCTTGTCGGCAGCTACACACACCAAGAGGCAGAGGTATCCACCAAGCATTTCTAGCGCTTTACTTGGCCCTCAAAGTCATTACAGAATCAACTCATCTGAGTCCGCGTCTCCCTGGCCTCCATTCCCACCTACTTAATTTCTAACCAGTCACCTAACTTTTAACCATTTCTCATAACCTCAAATGAAGCTTCTACTTGGAAAACAGAAACTTCTGAACTCTTCAAATAGGTTAATGGTACCAATAAATACCAATCCCTCCCTGTCTTCTCTCTTTTTTATCTTTTTTTTCTTCTTTTTCTCTACTCACTTCTTCCTCCTCTTCTGTGCCTACAGGGCGCTGTTTGTATGCACATATGTATATGTGTCTGTCTGTCTGTCTCTGTATGTATGAGTGTGTGTCTCTGTATGTATGAAGGTCAGAGGGCAACCTCAGGTGTCATTCCTTAAGGAGTACTTTGGAATACAAAACACCTTTGTTTTGGATAACAGGGTCTCTCACTGCTCTGAAACTCTCTAAGTAGGCTAAGCTGGCTGGCTTCCAAGTCCCAGGGATCTTCCTGTCTCTGCCTCCTCGGTACTGGAGTTACAAGCATGTGCCATCATGCCTGTCTCTTTTTACACAAGTTCTGGGGCTCCAACTCAGGTCCTGACCCTTGCAAAGCAATCCCTGTCCTAACAGAGCTATCTCCCTTCCCTTCCTATTTATCACTCTATCCCTCACCCTCCATCGACTGTGCTGCAGATGGAATGTAGGGCCAAGCAGGCAGTGTGCAAGCACTCTACCACTAAGATAAGCTCCTAACCTGGCTACTTCCAAAGTTTCTTTTCTCACACAGTCTACATCATCACCAAAGGGAATGTGTCCTCTTCCTTTGAAGTTTTCCCACTGGGCAATTTTAATACACATTTTTCTCCCTTGTAAAAACAACTACTCCACCTGTTACTGTTACCCGCTGACACCATGATCCTGATTTTCGTCTTTCGTCTTTGTAACATTTACAATCATCATCTCAAGGAATCCAGCCTGTATGAGTGAATCATTTTTCCTTAGCCTCTTTTAACCCAAACGACCTTAAAAGTTTGTGCATGTGTATGCAGTTCGGGTGAGAGGTCAACCTCGTGTATGGTTACTCAGGAGCAGATCACTTTCATTTTTCATTCTTCTGAGACAAGGAATTTTATGGAAACCCAATGTCCTGGCTAGTTTTGTACCAACTTAACACAAGCTAGAGTCATCTTAAAGGAGGGAACCTCAACTGAGAAAAATACCTCAAAGACCCGGTGTACAGCAGTGTCTTAGTTAGTGATAGATGAGGGTGGGCTCAGTCCACTGTGGGTGGTGCTACCCCCAGGAAGGTGGTCCTGGGTTCTATAAGAAAGCAGGCTGAGCCAGCCATAAGGAGCAAGCCAGAGAAGCAGCATCTCTCCGTGGCCCCTGCATCAGCTTCTGCCTCCAGGTTTCTGCCATTTGAGTTGCTGTCCTGACTACTTTCAACAAAAGACTGCAGTGTGGATGTTGAAGCCTAAGCCAAATAAACCCTTTCCTCCCAACTTGCTTTTGGTCATGGCGTTTCATCACAACAATATAAACCCTAACTAGGACACCAGAGCTCACCAATTAGTCTAAGTTGGCTGGCTGGCAAGACCCAGAGATCCTCCTGCCAGTCTGGAATGGCAAGTTGGTAGCCACCACACCCAGTTTGTTTAGTGGATTCCAGGAATCAAACTCAGGTCCTCAGCATTCTACCAACTGAGCCATCTCTCTAGCCACCAAATAACCTTTACTTCTGCTGTGTCCACCCATTCTCATGGTGATGTACTCTAGAAAATCTGTCAGGTGTGCCTGAACCTTCAGCCCATAGGCCACATGTGTCATATAATAGGTTTAAATGCATCTAAATGGTTCTTTTTCTGTTGCTCAATTATGTGGTTCTTACCTGTGAACCTTGTATGTGCCAATGTCATGTGCCAGAGCCCACCGGCAGAGTCAAACAATTCTTGAGTGGGGAGTGAGGATTGAAAAACAAAATAACACAAGACACAAGGGATCAGCTTGAGAGGGCTGTCAGTAAAAACTGTCACATTCTGTTTTATTCCATAGCTCCTTCCTTGAGTCAGAACAAAGCACCTCAGTACAATGAATGGATTCATGGAGAAGTCAAACTTGTTTACCTTGACCACCTCTCTGTGTGATCCTCAAACAAACAAAAGGAAGGAGCTTGGCAAAACAATCCTACTTATCTCTGTCTCAAGGTGAAGGCCAGGGTGAAAACCTCGTTTTCATTGAAAACTCAATAACAAAGCAGCCTGAACAAGCAGCTCTCCACAGTCATGACAAAAGGTAGGAGATACCTGACTGCTCTGTTTCTAAAATCATGCATTTTTTTAAAATCCTATTTATTTGGAGTCACAATCCCCATCCTTGCTATAGTATGTCTCCCTTAGTCTGAACACACAGTCTTTACTGACCATAGAGCTCTCACTTCCCATAAATTCAGCATAAACCCATGGTTTCTATAGCAGTCTCCTCTGAATTAGAACATTCCCTTCGGGAAGGAGAGAAGGAGGAGACATATTATTTAGTAGATTTCCACACCTCTGAGAAAGCTGAAAGCTGTAAGGTTTACCAGGTCCCTTCCCCATTGTTACTCAAGTCATAAATGACTTCTGGGGAGGAGACTGACAACCAAGCTGCCCAGAGAAGGGCCAGGCAGCCTAGAGGATGCTTCTGGCACCTGTTGAGCTGCCGTAAGCTGTGAAGACAGCTCCAGGATGCAGATTTCTTGGGCTGTCACACATGTTGGAATGGGCCTTTTAGTGATGCAGCTGCTTTTGAATCATCTATATCCCTGAAGGTCACTCCATACCCAGGCTCCTCTTAGCAACACTGATGAAAACTCATTGTTTCACCAAGTTGGACTTTGGTGAAATGTCTACTTTGGTCTGTTGAGGGTACCCTATCTAGGATGAGTAGAGGTGTGTGTGTGTGTGTGTGTGTGTGTCTGTGTACAGAACTACAAAAAAGATTTTTTAGATTATGTCCCACAATTAGATGCTGGATAATCTAAACAATGATTGTTTGCCCCCTGCAGAAGCAGAAACCTGTTAGCTACTCAGTCTAAGAAAGCTGGAAGTCTCAGAACAAATGGTACCATTGATTGCCTTCAAGCTCCTTAGAGGGTGTCTTTGCTGGTAAGTGTTGAGAAGCTGAAGACACTGGAGTCTGAGGGCCACAGGCGATGGCTTGAGCATTGGACATATCTGCTGAAGGATTATAGAGTTTGCACACTCTGGCTGGACATCTTTTCCTACCTGTATTCCATTTGAGCTGCAGGCCTATTTGGATGTTGCCACCCACATTCAGAACAGGTACTTTCCCCCTCAATTGCTGTCCTAAATGTCAATTATATCTGACAACGCCCCCACAGATACATCCAGAAATGTGTCTCTAGGCATCTCAGTGGAGTCAGGTTGACAGACAAATCGTGACAAACACATTTTCAGCTACCCACGATTCCACTATTCAACTGTCTTCCAGGGAATACAAATGATACAGAACTGCTTCTTTAATTTGAGTGTGTATCAGACTCACACAGAGTTGGGCTGCCCTCTACCCTGAAGTTTTGTTGGGCTTCTTTCCAGAGTTTCTCATTTGGTAGCTTTACATTCACTCATTTTTTTCCCATTTCTTTCTTTCTTTCTTTTTTTTTTTTTTATTGTGGTGATGGGAGTTGAATCCAGAGCTCTGTGCATGTTAGGCAAGTGTTCTGCTCCTTAGCTATACCCCCAGGTCACAGAGTCTCTGCTTTAAACAAAAGGTTTAACCTACAGTGCAGGTGGTTCAGACAGCACGAGAGTGCCTATCTAACACGCAGGAGGCCCTGGTTGGAAGTAAAAAGAAAGGTACAGTGCATGGTTATGCCCTTGCTCTTTTGTTCCTTCTGCATAATATCTCACCCGTAATATCTCACCCAGGGTTGATTCCTTTAGTTTGAGTTCCAGGCAGGAGCTGACCTGCAATGCCCATGCATGTAGGTGAACAACATTTGTTGGGATGAGTAACTCACTGACGTGCAGGGGTTGTTATTTTAGCATAACTTAATATGTGAACTCCTTATATTGCGCGTGCTTGGTATTCTGTAACAGGTTTTTGTTTTCATGAAAGCTGGAGAGGTTAATGGGAAAGGCCAATAATATTCTATTTCAAAAGCTTTCTACATACATATGTAGTGCACATTACACACCAAGAACTACGTTGTCACATGCAAATTGTTTTTTTGTTTGTTTGTTTGTTTGTCTGTTTTGAGACAAAGTCTCATGTAGTCCAAGCTAGCCTCAGACTTGCTGAGAATGACCACAAACTCCTCACAAATGCTAAGATCACAGGGATAAGCCATCATCATGCTCAGTATCATGTGCAAGCTATTTACCTGCTTGCTCCATGAAAACGGAAAATAGAGCCAAGAGCCATCTGCTTGTCTTGACAAAGTTCACCTTTTCAGAGGTGAATCTAAAAATGGTACATACAGAACAAACAGAAACATACACACACAGAGTCACGAAATCCACACAAAACTAATGGCAGCAGCCCTTCTACGTGGTTTTCCTTTGTAAAGGCTAATAGAAGAAAAACATGAAATAGGGCAGAGAGCTCCCTTGTCCCTTGAAAATACTGCTGGCCT